GCTGCCAATGTGTTACACCAAGTGAAAGAGCGATATGATAGTAGGAAAAACTTTGGTAACAAGTGTAAGCGGTACACTCCACACAGCACCCGTGAGCATGTACAAAATGTCATATGAACGAAGAACGATTTCCAATTCCAGGTGAATCAATAATGGACATTGGTTAGTTAACACACAAACACGCACGCACTCAAGTAAACGCGTTCTTACGTAGCAGTCTTTCCGGCTGGATGGATTTGGCATGACGAATGACCGTATCACAGGCAATCAAGAAGATGCCGTCGCCAGAAGATGTTGCAACGAAAAGGTTCTTCCTAGGTTCTTCCTAATCATTACAGCCAGTTCCTACCGCACATGCATTGCTTGCGTGATCCACTAAATGACCTACTGAGCGAGGATAAACGCTGGAACTGGTCGGAAGAAGGTCAGAGCTCATCTAGCGACGCAAAAAAGCTACTATGTTCCGACTTTCTGTTGACACATTATAACCCTACTTTAGAGATTGTGGAGGCCGAAGACTCGTCGAACTATGGCATTGGTATAGTCACAGCCCACAAGTTCGCGGATATTTCAGAATAGACAATTGTCCATGCAGCGCGATCGCTGTCTCTCGCAGAGCGAAATTCTGGCCAGAGAGAGAAAGAAGCCATGGCGATAGTCTTCGTTGTAAAATAAATTTCACAAGATGCTATATGGAAGAAAGTATACACTCCTTACTGAGCCGCTGATGAAAATTTTCCGGTCAAAGTGGGGCATCCCTGTCTAAACGGCAAACAGGTTGCAGCGGTGGGCTACTACATTACTCGGCTACGAGTCTACGGTGAAGCGTATTTCTACAAAGTATATTGGTCAAGCTGATGCACTTCGCCAGCTATTAAAAAGCCAGCAGTGCAAACAAGAAGAATCTATCATTGCAGCGATCCCTCTGGAGTTGAAAATGAGTAAGGTATTGTTGAAAACGCTCCGGGAGTTTCCGTAACTTGAGATGTTACATGATGCATCAATGCGGGATTCCGTTCTACAACAATCGGTCAGATCTCGTAGCGGCCGAAGGACAACCTAGATGGGGATTTGCAGTTTGTTCCGAAGAAAAGACAAATTACCCATCGTCAATGAATGTTTACTTTTGGCGGAAAGAGTTGTTATTCCCGGGGAGTTTCGCCAAAATATTCTGTAGCGATTGCATCGTGGACACCCTGGCAATAACAGAATGAAAATGACTGCGTGGAGTTACGTTTACTGGCCGAATACCGACTCGGAGCTGGAACAACTGGCAAATTCGTGCCCGAAATGTGCGCTTGTCAGCAAGGCACCCAGGAAAGCGGAAGTGTCTTCCTGGTCGTCGTTAACAAAACCGTTCGAGCGAGTACACGCCGATTTCTTTGGCCCCGTTAATGGACAACAGTATCATATCACTGTTGATTCCTTCAGTAAGTGGCCGGAAGTTTTCTCCACAGAACGCGCAACAATTAGCATATTGAGAAGACTTTCCACCCAGCATGGAATACCAGATACCCTGATTACTGACAATGGCCCTCAGTTCGCATTTTGTAGTTCGCCGCATACGGTACGCAGAACGGTATCACACCGCGGTTAAACCTGCAGTCCAATGTGCAAGCTGAGCGTTTTGTTGATAGGTTTAAACGGACGCTGCTGAAGATGAGAGAGAAAGGAACTACCCAGGAGATATTGAATGTTTTCCCTCAGATGGTTCGACTCCAATGACATGACAGCTGCTGTCAATTAAGCTGGGAATTATAGAAGGAAGGTTAGTAATGGGGGTCGGGTGGGAGTAAGAGAAAAAGGTGGAAAAGAAAAAAGGGAGGCGCCAGCAGTAGCATGTTTTCGCTTATCCGTCCAGGTGTATGCAACAGATAAGATGACCCTTGATAACCTGCGTGACGGCCGATGAAGGATGAAGTTTATGTTTGTAGAAAAGTCATGGTTGTATGTGGGCTGAGATACTGCCAGGGCACTCAGACCTCGACAGGAGGACAATTAGGGTCCTCGTCCAAAGCCTTTGGCTCAAGAACCTGTCCGCAAGGCAGCGGGGAGGTAGCAATGATTTACTTTTACAGAAATGGACGCCATCCCATTTCAAACCCCAACTTGGAGGACCAGGAGACTGAGTTTGTCTGACCTCTCACCACTGACCAACCTGGTAGGAGTAGCTCTCAAGGGGGCGCGGAGACATCACCAAGTATAGCTCAATGGATCAAGGAGGTACGTGAACCGTGGCACCACGTTAAATTCCAATCTCATTATTCGACCAGTTGGATGCTGTATCGAAAAATGAAGTAGCAGTGGGTAAGTGTGCACATACCACAGCACATATAATCAAAAACGTCCAGATGGAGACGAAAATTGCTCGCATCATACCATTGCATCCTAACTGTTACTGTAACTGTAAGTGCGAGGGCCTACGGGATGAATGCGACCGTAGGACGAACAGTGGTTTACGTTGCACAACCTACACAAATTTAAATTATATGAGATATAGGTCGGAACCACCAATAGTAGAGAGTCTGCTATCGTCACTCATGCGGGGAAATAGAAATTATAAGAAGTCTGGCTACGCTGTCTAACGTTTGCATAATAGTCCGACCCTTGCAACCCCACGATAAAGGCAGTGGGTAGGTGCCTTGTTCGAGGAGACCTGCTTAGGAATTCAAGGCCACATATCAGATCACGGTTTATCCTTCTCATTGCTCCTCAGTAGCAAGATAACCAGGGGCTGTATATCAGCAAAGCGTCAGTACAAAGTACTGATGAACTGTTGACGATGAGGACAGAGGATCTGAAAACTGGTTGATTCCCGCTAAACTAAAGCAATCATTTGAACGAAGTAACTCATGGGGTATCAAACTTATAATCACTGATTCTCACTGTCACGAGCTCTACAGCAGCCTGGTTGGAATGGAGATTACTCAAGAAGCACGTAAATATTTAGCACAGAAACGTGTTCTCCAGGAAGGCTAAAGTTACGCGGGTGAGAGCCACGACTGACCCAAGGCCGCCCCACACTCTTAAAGCGCCCACATCACGGATGCATAGATGGAAAAAACCTATATAGCATAAGCGTACAGAGTGGTGGCTGAACTCTAGCCAGCACGGTGTCAGAACTACTCGCTGGGACTATCAATGTAACAAAAAACGTGCGTCGCGAACCGCCGTTGCACGCGAAGTGTGAGCAGAAATGACAAATGAAGAACCTATGTACAGCAATCTGCTGTCTGTGCAAGAGTTTGTGTGGTGAGGCTTATACGCTGCTGAGTGGAACAAATCGACTAGCACAAAAAATTCGCGTAGTTCCTGTAGCTGGGAGGAAGGGGAAAATAAGAATAACATTAAAAATAATAATAATAATAGTAATGTGTCATCTGTACGCCGTAACGGCGCCTCGCTGCCGTGCGACCACCACCAGTCGCACGCGGGCTGAGTATACTGAGAGGACGCCCACCCGTACGCGGTTGCGAATTTGCGCCACAGGATTACGAGACAACCTCCTTACTTCTAGGCTACAGGCCGACTCAAGGCTACGGGCCGAAGAGGGAAAATGGTATAGATTTAAAAGGCTAAAATACAGGCACCGTATTGCGAGAGAGAAGATTAGACGAACGAAATGGTAAGTTATAAGGCCACCAGAGTCAGAGCAAACATAGTTCGTGTGACAGTATGTAAAGTGACAACTAGCAAGTGAGTTAAGTCAACGTTTAAAGTTCCAAAGGAGAGTTCACAGAAAAAGGAGCATTTGCCATTGATCCGCCTGAAACCGGTGCATCAAGATAACCGGCCTATTGTTGCAAGAAAGCAGATTGCATGCAGTAAGGGGTTCCGGCGTTGCTTGCGCCCATCGCCACACTCTAGACGAGTTACTTGGTTCCGCTTTGGACTCCTCAGGTGCAGATAGCCTGATCTAGGAGTGGAGTAGGTGACGGTTAGCTTTATGACCACCAGGCCAATGAGCTCCGTGAGCAGCACTTGACACAGGGGTGCTTCATCAAGAACACCAGACTGAGGTAAATAACTGTTTTCAATGATTCATCTACGGTAAATGGTTAGACAACGAATAGTTCGCGGCTGTATCATTCACACAAATCGACTGAGGGTAACGTAATCACAATGCCTGAGCCGATGTCAGGTGGCACCGGAGTTCGTACAAGCGGTATTTTGTTCCATCTGTGCGAATCAGGTCACCAGATTGACCTCTCGAATGCCTTTACTGTAATTTATCAGGTTCCAATGAGCAAACCTAAAGATACGCGGTAAGGATGCGCGCCACTGCAGAGGCTATTGCGATCCGCATATGCCAGCCCCCACTGTGCTCGCAAAAATGTTTGTTCAATCGCTATACCTGCCCTGGCCGAACATCCACCAGCCTAGCCGTCACCCTGACATCGGCTCAGGCATTGCGATTACGTAACCCTCAGTCGATCTGTGTAAATGAGGCAGCAGCGAATTATTCGCTGTCTAACCATTGACCGAGTCACTTCAGAGTAAACCACTGAACCTATCACTATCCATCCTTATATGATTGCACCGGCCCGTAGATGAATTGCTGAAAACAATTGTTTGCCTCAGATTGGTTGTCTTGATGAATCACTGAGAATGTTATATATGTTTAAACCGGCGATTGTTGATTGGTTCTGCACCTCAACAGATTAGTGATTCTAACGATAGCCGACAACCACTATCCGGCTGGCTCCATTCCTGGCTCAGGCTGTTCATACCTAAAGGACGAATCCGGTCGCCGCGTACACTGTTGAGAGTAAGCAACATCGAAACTCTCCACTTCCGACAAGGTGCCAGCGATGGGAACGGCCGAAATTGACAACAAGGTCAGCCATGGCCTCAAATGAGGCTGCATCGCAATCCGGACACATGACAAGTACTCCAAAAAGCCTAAAGTTAGGGGTGCATGATCGTGACAGTCAAACCTTGAGCAAGAGAGCACGTTCTTGAAGATAAATGAACAACAAACGAAAAGCAAAGGCTTTTACCTTGGTTGTAAGCTTGAGCACTTGTCCAAGCAAAGGCAGACAGCAGTCCCTCGCTTAGCCCATGCTGCATAATGACTTCAGACTTGACATCCTCAGGGAGGGCACTGCGAGCAAGGTTTTTGTGAACTTGTTCACCACGAACAACATCCAAAGCTCCAACCAGGCCAAATTCACACGGGTCCCCTCGCCAAAAGGGTGTGTGAGACCAATAGCCTGAAAATGTAACAATGTGGATTTATGCAAATGCACAGATGAAAAAAGAATGTAAAAGAAACGCGGCAATTGGTGTCCGAATGTAGAGTGGGAATATATCAATCACCAGAAAAATTGCAAAACCATAGCAAATCATGAAAAAGTTCATGCTATTCGTGTCAGCGTCCGAATGCTGGAACTAGCGAACTTGAATGAGGAGGGAAACCTTGGAAAAGAATTGGTCGGCTATCAATCGAATCTGAACTGCTGATCCATGTAAAGAAACTACCACTATCGGAGGTGCGGGGTTTAGAAGCAAGATACGAGGAGAAGTACCTATGACGAGGAAGAAAAAGAGAGAAAAGAGAGAAATAATTAGTGATGCGTGAGTCTGGCCATTAGCTCCTCAGACAAGGGCAATGGTTCATAGAGCAAAGATGAGGCGGCAATGGTCCACAAGTACATCATAATCATCATTATCCACGCTAGCTTCAGGTGGAAAACATCTCAACTATTGTGCCGCAATACAAAAGACAAGAAAGAAACAAGAGGCACGCCGACTGAGTTCCCAGTATCGGATATGCAACGTTCCGGAGAGATAACATCCGGCTATCGTGTCGCAAAGAGAGTTATATTGTGCCTAACGAATAAGATCGTGATTGGCGATGGAGGCTAATAAGGACGGGGATGGACAAAGGAACTCACAACACAAACGCCACTGCGGCCAGCGCCTAGCCATATCCGCAAGTGTGTCCAACCAAACGTGTTCATCGTCTTTAGGACCCCAACTAGGCAGTCGGGATTCACCAACGGACGCCAACTTCGAAGTGAGAGTTTTCATTTATCTAGACAAAGTCATCGTTTGGCTTCCCCTCCTTCTCTTCCAACCGCACCCCTAGCGCACAAACACCACACGTCGCAACGGTGACAGTATGCCACAAACCCTCACTCTGCCCAAACTATGCATGTATAGCGCTTTGATAACGTTTACGCATTTAACAGACACCCCATTCCTCAGCAGTGTCCCAAAGGGCACATCGATCGAATGAATCGAAAGCTCCTTTTATGTCGAGAAACATGACAACGGTGGGTCGCCAATAAACATTGCAGAGCTCCAACAATTGACGCAAGTGAAGATGTGGTCGATGCAGCCCCGACCTCGACGAAACCCTGGTTGACCTTCACTGATCGGGCTTTCACGAGTGCCAGTCAGTCTGTGGAGGACAGACGCAAGCAATTTAGAAATAATTGAGATCATACTGATCCCTCTATGATTGCTGCATTCGCATCGGAAGCGTCGGGACAGTCTCTGTCGGGACAGTCTCTGCTCCCAAAGTTTCACTAGCAACTCGTGTAAATAATCTATTAGAGCAGGTCCCCGAATTTGAAGAGGGCCGGGAAATACTATCTGTCTCTGCGGCCTTAGGCAATTTCAACAGCCTGTTCTCACGTTCGATTTACGCGCGTGAGAGCGGATCCAAAGAGACAGCCCAGGGTGAAGGGCGCTCAATGCACGAAAAAGAAACCGATAACGTAGGTTGGTTAAATTGACTTGTAAAGTGTTCGGCCCAACATTCCAAGCGTTTTGACAGGCTGTGGATCGCCTGTCCACTCTCATCACGTATGGCCACGCTAACATCAGATGTCCTGCTGCCTGTTTCCCGTATCAGACGGAATAACTTTCAATGGTTACCAACAGCAGCGGCTGTTTCCATCTCCGGGGCACGATGAGACCACCAGACTTCGCGGTCCCTCTTCCGGTTAGCACGCAGTTTTGCCTTGAGATTTTTATGAGTCTCAATGCATTCGCTTCCAGCCGGAACACTACGGCGAGAATCCATAAATTCCAGAGACTATGTAGAGACCCAATGTCCAGGTTGGCAATTTGATTTGCCATATGAAGACATGCCTGCTGATAGAAACGTTTGACGAATATGTGACGGTGTTCGTTGGACGCTTACTCAACCCAGATGATAGCGTAGTTTGATACGCATACAGAACACCTGGCTTCGCCAGCTGGCTGGTGTCAATGCGCTCAAAGCGATGTTGCGGACGTCCGTCGAAACGCACCCGCACATCAGTACACACAACAGCGTGATCAGAGTTTACACTTGTGATCCAAATCAAGCGACACAGTCTCTCCAGCGGTAACTAATCGCGATGTGATCGATTTGCGTCCATGGCTAGTGGCTGCCAAATCACTCTTCTGCAGGTGCTGTGTCGAAAGTTTGTGCTCGCGAGAAAGAGACGAGCACCTTCACACAAGTGTAGCAATCGCACAACGTTATCATTACGGGAGCCTACACCATGTTGCCGCCCAGATGAAGCTCATCAGACGACAATTTTCCGACTTGCGCGTTTAGATCACCAGCAAGCACCACCGTATTCGTGCTTATACTGTAACGAATAAGATCGTTAAGTTGGTGGTAGAAATCATCATTACCCGAATCAATGCTGCAGTTTGTAGGGGCGTAAGCCGCAATGACAGACAAGCACCGTTTGTCCCCGCGCGACTTCGGAGCTTGGAACCAGTCAGCCAACCTAACGGCGCACATGCGGCAGATGACAGAGATCCAGTGGATCAGGGCAGCTTCAGTTCGAGGACTCAAAAAAATGCCGACGCCAGCTTGACCAGCATTTGAAGCTGTCTCATCGCCAGACAGGCGCAATAAAAATGTCCGCCAGTGTCACATGGGGGGATAGCAGAGTAAGCAAGGAGCTCCAACCCTGCAGACGGATTGCCTCTAGTGTGCGGGCAAGTGTTGCCTGTTGGCCAATCTGTAACAAAGTACGCACGTTGAGCTATGCCAGTTTTAGCGAGGATCGAGGACTCCAAAGGAAAACGGATGAAATGACGTTGTCCGCTTGGATTGGAGCAACTACCTGCGATTGTGTGAGTTGAAACTAGAAGACAAGCGACTATTTAAGCAAGGTATGGGAAAGCCAAGAATTGGGGGATTGGAAACGGGGGATGAAAGTGAAGTTGGAATGGGACGCTAAGGATGGAAAAGCGCAAGAGGGGGAATAAGAAGGCGGGAAGGCCCGAGCATTAGCATCCAAACCCCTATCCACCCTGCTCGACGCAGCAGGGAGCATCAAGAGATTGTTAGATGGAAAGGTATTGCGTAAGCAGGATACTGTCCGTTTGCCCAGGCCTAGACAAGAGAACGATTATGGTTCTCAAACAAAGCCTTTAGTACAAAAATCGTACCGCAAGGCAGCAGGGCTTTGGCACTGAACTACAGGGAGACCGTTTCATGGAGTCAGGAGACAGTCTCGTTCCAACCTCTAACCTGGGGGGCAAGGACATTGAGTTTGTCTGGCCGCTAACCATTGCCCAATCTGGTGTGTGTGGCTCTGAAGGTGCAAAAAGCACCACCAAGTATAGCTCAATGGGTCAGTGGGGCATACAAACCATCGCACCACGTTAAGGTCCAGTCTCATCGCGGGCATGGAGCTTCTGGGCTACACAGGTTAAGAGACGGATTCAACCTGAGTTCTTACTAACCTGTTTCTCACAAAGCAAAACGGTTACCGTATGTCACAAAACGCTGCGAATTGGTTACAAATCGAGAATACGGCTTTTAAATGCCAGAGAATTATTCATACTCAAAGAGTGGCAGTATAGCAACACACAGAATAGGAAATGCCTCTGGAACGAAGAAATCGACGCCATATATAAGAATGGTTGACAGTCAGATGGATTATACGGTACGTTAGTCTTCGAGTGACCTTTCAGACAAAAGCCGGTGACCACTGATGCTGTTCACTCACTTTCCACTATGTTCTTATTTCTCTTGATAGAGGTGAATTGTCGGTGTTCTTATATGTGAGCCCCTTGATTTTGACGAAGCAACTTAGGATATCCTGTGATAATGGTTGGGAAACCAGGTTAACAAATCCGGACATGCTCCACCACGCTCTAAGACGTTGCCGCTGATCGTCGGCGATTAAAGGTGCCTTACAGCTGCCGAGACATGTGCCCGATCAAGTAAACAAGGAGAGTATTCGGCGACGCGCAAGCTGAAGTGGTGACTAGTAGCGTGCAGCACTGTTGTGTGTGGATAGAGCCGTGGGTGGAGCATCGCAAATCGACCACAGCCTGCATGTAGGCGCAGTCACCTTGTGGCTGATGCAGCCCCACTGACAGGTTAACATGAATTCAGATGTGCCCAACCATAGCCCTATGTGGTACCCTGATAGGATTCAAAGGCTAGTCTTCCTTTTCTCTCATGAGATGGTATGCTGTCCCAACTCCCTCCGACTGTTGGCCCAACATTCCTCTGTTATTCCCTGAATTCCGAGGATTCGAGGCCCTCGCAGCACTATCCCACTAGTCTCCATAAGAACCGTAAATTTATTGAACCGTATCTTGAGTGGCGTTTCTGTCAGTGCCAATTTATCGTCTTATCTAACGCATCTCTGTGTTGTTCATTCAGATAGAAAGAAATCTACATCTACTGCGATTGTTGCTTCCAGTAAAGGACATCATCCACCCGTCACTAAACCATTTCCCGGCCAAGTTGTCCTCTTGGACAACAGGAATAATCTGAGGGGTCATTCAACATGAGTCTACTCAATTAATTTGTTCCGTGCGTACGCCAGTCACTTGTGCAGGTGTGTAGGTGGGCGTGCATAGCCCGTCGCATTCAGCCAATTGGACCTCAGACGCACTAAGTCATAGGGATGCAGGTGGGACGCTTCAGCTCCTACGCACGGAACAAATTAATTGAGTAGACTCATGTTGAATGCCCCCTCAGATTATTTCTGTTGCCCAAGAGGACAACTTGGCCGGGAAATCGTGTAGAACACGCACTGCTCGCCACAGCTGTGCGCATCTGATAGGTCTTAAACGCCGGAATGGATGTTGGCTGCCAACTGAGTTTGTCGAAATTCTCGGTTCTTCGCGGCACCTTCCATATCACATGGCTTTCCATATGCCCGAAAATGTATTAGATAGCCGTTCCGCCTGATCGAGATTCGTCAGTTGTGTGCATCCATCGAGTCAAACAGGGTGCGCTTGCCAGCGGCGGAACGCCAAAATCTACAAGATAACTGCAATATAGTGCAGATCCTCATAGATTCAAGCGATGCACACTACCGGGGGTCCCGAGGGGACGAAACGGCCGTCTAGTGCTTTTCCGGACATATGGAGAAATATCTGGTTTGGAAACTGCTGCGAAAAAAGCAGCATTTGCAACAAAAATCTTTGCCGATATACAATATGCTCCTAGTTCCCCTGACTCCATTATTGTCTCGAGGTCTACATCGTCCGCCGATTAAACTCCATAACTTATCAGAAGTGGAAGCAACACCCCGAGGGAAATCGGTGTGTTACTCGGTTCCATTTTCCATCAAACCAAACCAATAGTTAGTGGGCGGATTTGCCAAAATAACGCTGCCGCAACAACGAAAAGTTTCAATAGTTTTAAATTTGATTCCTCACATCCGGATTCATTCATTTTGCCACCAAGCCGATGAGAAATGAAACCGAGCTACCAGTTCATCCTTGAGGGCTTCGATAAGATGTCATTGTTCATACCATCAACAGCATGCCAATAATGTAAAGCTGATGAACCCTGTAGTGGAATTACGCAAGCAGAAGAACGATACGGATTTACATAACGAAACAAGCGGACAGTTTGCTGCAAGCGAACAGAGCAGTTGATTGGACGCCTAAGCACATTCGCTTACATGCTGATTGGACTATCTTTGGTTGCGTTGGAACGGGTTTCTTTAATTGATTCAAAGGAAGAATCGAATGAATGCAGAAGTATCGTTCCTTACGGAAATCAATCAGTTTTTTAAATCGAGATTTCTGCATACTAGTTATGCTGTCATTTACGTTGAGCTGGCTTTGTCGATTAAACCGAGTTCTGCAACACACCTCGGCTAATAAGAAGCAACAAAAGTCCAAGCAGCACCGAGTGTGAGCAAGATTCTGTCACGATCCGTGTTTGGTACACTGTAAACTATCCACTGCTGCAATAGACCTCCGCGCAAAGTGGTCACGTCGTGAATGCATGCAGCACAGAGAAACTCGTGCTCAGACACCACAGTGGATAATTCCGAACTTAACGTTAGAATGGAAGATCAACAGTGCCAAGCATTTCGATAGAACCAAATCGAACAGAATTAAAGGCCAATGACTAATTCGAAGTAGTCCCTCACTTCGAAGTTGCTGTCGGCTAGTGTTTCCAGATGGCCTAGCTGGGGACCGAAGGATAATGAACGTGTCTGGATGGATACACTAGCTAATGTGGCGAAGAGTTGGTCTCAGTGGTGTTTGTGTTCTGAGTCGCTTTGCCTCCCTCCCTTCCCTTTAGCTTCCGCCTCTAACAACCATCAAATATGTGATATCAGCATTATCTTTTTATAGCTTTTAAGTCTACATTGCTTAATGTCGTACGCTTTTGGTATCGAGGCACATTAGCTGGGGTGTTTCTCATCCTCGGCTAACGTGTATTGATGAGGATGATGATGATGAAAGACCAATGATGTAACCCAGCGCAAGATTTTCGTTCATGAGAGAACAATCACAAGAGTACGCTGGTCAATCTCCATTGCATTGTCGTCGAATAACCACCCAGCAGACTTCACGCGAAAACGCAATAGCATGAGAGAAAGGCGTAAATCGGAGCAGGCAATCCACAAATGTTGGAAAGCTACCGGGTGAAGTGGTCCATGTTTTACATAGGGTCTATCGACACCATTGCACACTTCAGCTAATTGGCCCCAATACGAAAAGAAGAGATACATAAATACCAAACATTGTAGAAAAATAAACAAGAAATATGCTAAGTATCATAATATGCATATGGTAAGAGATCGTGGTTGGAGAGAATCGGAGGGACAAAGAAACACAAACACAACTGAAGTCGGCTCTTCGCCACATCAACTAGTGTATTCAACCAAACGTGTTCATCATCCTCGGGACACCAGCCAGACAGTCGGGAGACACCAACTGACGTCAATTTCGAAGTGAAGGACTTCATTCCTCATGACTAACGCATCGCTTGGCTTGCCCTCACCGCCTGCCATCCAGACCCCGGTCTCGCAAACAACGCAAGTCGCGTGAGTCTGTGTGCTGGCACGCGCCTGGCTCGTGAGATAACGGTGCTGAGCAGTTCACCCACTCTTCCTACGCCTGACAGAACACACTCATTGCTCACCCAGTGTTCCAAGAAGATACGAGCTAAACTGCGAAGGCAGCGATTGTTGATGGTAACAAGCTTTCTTAAATCTGGCGATCCAGATTTCGCAACCGCATAGTACGGCTGAACACGCGGCTGCATTGTAACCTCTGCACTTCAGAACAAGAGCCGTATCGCGCTACCAAGAGTCGATGGAGGAACCAGTCCCGGTCAACCTTGGACTTTGCATTTCGGTGGTGCGAAGCATAGCCCGATATGATGGACAGACAGTGATAAATTGTCCAGTGCTGCTTTGTACGTTTGGAAGTTATCACAGATTAGGGTAATGTCGTCGGCGTACTCCAATTCAGAAATTCGATCACCTGGAGGCAGCTCCACGCCTTACAAGTCATGCCAAGTGAACGCACTTTACATGACTACAGCGAAGTTAAAAATGGAAGCGTGACAGCGGGCAACCTTGTCTTCCACCGCTAGAGAGACTGAAGAGTGGTGACGGCTAGGCGCAAGCTCTCACTTTGCCATAACCAATTGTATAAAGCACTCTGGTGTTTAGGTATTTCTCGGACACACTTCCTGAGCAGAGTCCCAGAGGGCACATCGATCCATAGAAATAAAAGGTACCTTGAGGTTGAAGAGCACGACTACCGTGGATCGCCAATATATACGGCGGTGTTCTAACAACACATGAGCCGGCATGATACCACAGGTATCGTGGGTAAAACATCATCTAAAAAGCATCGGTATTCATAGAGTTTTCGATAAAACAGGCAATGTAACCCGGGAAAGATGAACAGAGACAACCAGATTATTAACATCTCTAACCACAGTGGGGTTACTAACGATGAAGCCATTTACTTGTGTCAGTCTTGACAGATAAGGAGGATAATTGGCAATCATATGTTAGAAGGCCGTTATTCTGTTAGGACACCCATAGATAGGTCACTAACGTCCCTAAATAAACCGGTCGTCTTGGTCTATTAATAAGTGCTTTAGTTCGCTTATGTAAACATGATGATACATAGTAATACACTGTATCGTTGCTTAATAGTGAATCCGACTCGCAAAGCGTTCATTCTGACTTCTGTGGGGCACTAACTCTGGCTACAGAACATACGAATGTCAAAATGCTTCCATAAAACATCCGTGTAAATTTCCTGGCTGTTTAAGAGCACACGTGTGAATGAATTCCAATGCATACTTTGGTTTGAACTGCAAAATTCAGCAGCTGCAGTAACGAGCTCAGTGACTCAACCAACTGAGATTCACCTCAAGGAGGCAAATTTCAGTCCGTACTGAGGATGTGGGTGTGAATAAATTCAAACAAGGGACGAAACCAACAGTGATTAATTACAAGCTATGTGACAAGCACTGGCTTTGGGGCTCGGTGGTGTGGTAGATGATCCGGCTAGGTTTCCACTATGTGGAAAGTGCAGACAGACTATGAAACAGCCGTGGAATTCATAGGTGGGGGTGGCTTATAACAAGCATAAGGTTAGGAAAACAGCCGTGAAAGGTTAAAACAGGGTTAAGCATAACTTACCCGCAACGGAGCGGGCGTATTCCGAAAAGTCCGGCGCTTGCGTATAGGGCAAACAAGAAAACCGGTAACACTCAAGCGGTTTCAGATCAAACGCTTCCGGTCGATAATTGCAGACAGGAACTTCACATTCGAGGCAAGTAGGATGCTCCCAACAGATAAACTATTGATGAAAAAGCGTTGGTAAACTGATATAACTATATAGATCGTAAAAAACGGGCAATAGTCGCCTATGCTATATAACGATATGATTGAAAAACGATAGTGAGTACCCTAAGTGCTAAACCCATGGTGGTGTTTTGTAAGGCGAAACCACTTTGTCGGCCGGTGGCCGAGTGGTCGGCACGTTTGCTTTCCAACCATAAGGTCACCGGTTCGAATCCGCGTAGGGGTGGGCGTCCTCGCGGTATACTCAGCCCGCGCGCGACTAGTGGTGGTCGCGCGGCAGCGAAGCGTCCTTACGGCGTATAAGCTGACACATTTCATTTTATTTTTTCATTTTCACTTTGATACGTAAGGCATGAAACCCACACAAACTTTCCCTTCCTCACCATGGCGCTCAAGGAAAATCACACAAAGCATAAACAATACGGAAGCAGAATAAGTATTACGCGGATGTTTGTTGGTCCAACCAATCTGCATCCAAAGAACAAGTATGTACCTGCTGCAAAGGTCGAGAAACACGTAACTGCCATGCCAGTTCCGTACGAATGCGATAGCGGACAGTGTTCTCCTCGGGATCCACAACTGTGTCATTCACTTCATCGAACACATCTTCAATCACATCATCGTGCTTCACAAAAAGGCCGGGGGAAACCAAACGTTTGAAAAACGTCTCTACTGTAGCCCTTTCGTCGACCTGGTGGACATGATCAGATGGCGATGAGCAAGGATAAGCTCGTGTCCAGGCTTGGTAAGCAGACTCTAGGCAAGCAGCAATCAGACGGCTGCGGTGTTTCGCCCGCGCCTCTACTGCAGTGGGGCGTTCATCGATCCGGTTTAAAGGAAGACGATTAAGCAACGATAACCCTTCCGATAAAGACTGCAAGAGATACTTCTGCATCAACGGACAATCCACTTCCTCTGGTTCCCATTTAGCAACATTTGTTCTCGTAAGCTGTTGTACGAAAGGGAGCATTCCGGGTATTTTAAGGGGAAGATCCAATGAGTGAAACCACAAATTATCTTCAAAGTGGTAAAGCTCTTGTAGCTTGTCGAAAGTTGATGGCATACTTTTGAGCAGCTCCCCATGCTTGAATCTGAAAGAAGGAACAGATAAGTTGGAACACAGCCCAATTATGTGGAAATCGCTTTCGGAGTGGATAAGCAATAATGATCGATAAAATCAAACAAGATAACTTGCCTGGACTGATAAAGTAAAAATGCGGGCAACTATGGAAGAAGATTAAAATAAGACGTTCCTTTGCACTTCGGAAATGGTGACGTCATCTCACAAAATAGGTCCTCTGAGTTTCCCATTTGAAACTATGAAGGAGTTTGAGTGGAGAGGGCTGTCATGGAAAGGATTGAAGATTTCATATCCATTTCACAGTGGGCTGGTAAATACCGGTCAAATGAAATGACGGAAACTTCGGAAATAAGTTCGTCATTGTCGAATTTTGTCAAACTGAAATAACCTAATGCACCGAGTAAGCAGTACCGGCATCATTCAACACGTTAACTTGTGATGAGAAACACACCCTGATAAATAGATTCGTTTATGCAGAAGTGAGGATAGATTGAAATGTACTAGTGAATCCTGCTGGCCAAACGTCTTTATAACTCATGAGAGGCTTTAAAGCTGATTACGAAACATTCGGGTGTCAAAAATGCTTCCCATAAGACCTCTGCATACAAATCTTTCAGGTGGTTGGCTTCCGATGCCTTCTCCAGAGTTATTTCCTCAGTTGAAAGTAGTCAAAGGAACCCATTGTGTTGAGAGAACTTAACCAGTACGCTAGGTTCAACACAAAGCTGACGGTAGCGAAGACAGCAGTGCAGTTTTTAGATGAACGCATGCTCCGGTGTGAATATCCTAAACACTCAAACGTAATGGAGTTAATGCAACCAAAACTGTTTCAGAATACCCCTTGTGCGTATGTATTTTAATCCACAACCTGGTAGGCAACCAGGAGGTAGTATGAAGTGAACCTGCACTTGCAGTAATAGCTCCGGCGAGTTAACTGGCTGAAATTCATTTTAAGATGAATTTCGGTCCGTAATGAGAATGTGGACATCAATATACTCAAACAACGGACAATTCAAGAGAAAGCAACACCACTTACTCTAAGTAAGAGTTGCAGGGACTTCAAAAAAGTTGGCTATCCTGGGTTGAAATGTCACTTGATAAAGTACAGTACTAAGAAAAAGTGCCGACCGATTGGAGGGTCACTTTGAAAATACTCGTTATGCGAATGGATTGCGACGCGAAAACCTAATGATAACCGTGATTCACATTGAAGTGAGCCTTGGTCAATGTGATCACTGGGAACGTAGCCGAAGCAGATGGAAATTTGATGCTGATCGTCCAGGAAACAAACGGTTCCCAAAGTGCTAACCAGTTAATCGTAAAGCGACGTGGAAGCACATACCTCGTGATGATAGTGGTGGTTCGGTTCCACGGCTGGTCGTTGAGTACAATCAACACGTCAATAGCACAGTTTGACAACACAGGCATTCGCTTCGAATTACTTAGCATCCACGGAATTTCATGCCAAGTTCACACTACCGTTCGCTACAAATAGCCCAGATATGTATGATTTTCGGTCAGTTTTGGATACAAGTCTAGGATACGATCATGCCACTGAGAACATCATCATCAACAGCAGTACATTATCCATTTGAACTGATGTATCGCCGCCATACAACCATAACGATCTGCGGCACGAAGAAGAATAAGAGGGAGAGAAGGATAACTTACCGGAAGACCATAATGTCCTAAGCAAACATTCAGGGTCAACAGCATGCCATCACAAAAAGCTGGCTATCGTGCAAAGGCGGCATGGATGAGGCAGCTTCCTTGCGGTTTTCACTGAGCCGCGTCATAATCAGCCATTACCCCGCAGATAAGTCAACAACAAACAAACTCCAAACAGGCATTCCAAGTACGAGACAGCAGCAGATGCGCCACTGGCGCCGACTACGAGCCATATCTCGAGCTAAGCCCAAGACAAGTCCTGTGGACTCCAGCCTGGAAGGCAAGACGGACCTCAGTAGGCAGTGCCACAATACTGTACGGTCGACAGAATCGAAGGCTGCACGGATATCTAAGAACATAGCAATCGTTGACCTCTGATACACATGGCAGAGCTCGAGGATCTAGCGGAGTGTGAAGATTTGATCGATGCAGCCGAGACCATGGCGAAACGCAGCTTGTTCTTCTCGCCGCAACGATTCGTGCGTTGGGGATAGCCTGCGAAGTATGACGGACACCAACAGCTACCAAACGACGGGGATTAAGCTTATGCCTCTGTAGTTAGAGCAGATTGCGGCGCAGGCTATTTTTGAAGATGATGGAACTTTCTCTTGCGACCAAACTTTCGAGAACAAAGCGGCGAGTTCTCGAACGAGCAAAGCGCCACTATCTTTAAATAGAGCTGGAGGAAGACAGATCATCAGGGCCGGGGGCTTTATAACGCTTCATGTGTCGGATCTCCTGCTCGAGTTCCTGGTAAGAGGGCGGATCTGTGGGGGTAGACCATTCGGCCCCAGCGCGAGCGCCAGAGGTAGTAGATAGAGCTAGGGGCCAACAAAACTGCAAGCCAAAATGTTCGGCCCATCGCTCCAACTGTCGTTTAAGATTGGCGATTAAGGTGCCATCCTCTTCGCATATTGTTTCACTTATACCAGATCGAACACCTTCGGTGACTCGAATGAGATGGGAAAGTTTTCTGGTATTAGCAGAGAGACTACCAAGCTCCATCTCCCTAGCATGTTCACACCACCAAGCTTCGCGGTCCAATTGTAGACTCCTGCGCAATTCTCGACCAAGGGATTGGCGTGCTTCACTGTGTCTGGAGTCCGACGGGATTAAGCGGCGTTTGTCCATCAGTGACAACCAGACGGCGGAAATCCAATGCTTCGGTGGGTGACGGGCAACTCCACAAGTAGCGATACTGGCGGAAACTAAAGCATCTTTGATCTGCGCCCACTGCGAATCGAGGTCAACGAAGATAGTTCAGCCGAGCAAGATTGACAGTGAGGCTTGGTAGCTGGTTGAAATCGCAGGATTTTGCAGATTTGCGACGTCCGGTCGGTAGTGAGTGCGCTTGGGTGATCTTCCGAAACGTATGCAAATCTTAGCACGAACCAACGCGTGATCGGAGTCTAAATAAGTTGACCAATACGATCGGCAGTCCGTTACGCTTCCGCGACATCGGTAGCTGATTGATATGTGGTCAAACTGGGAGCACTCTTGCGTTTGTGAGGGTGGGCGCCAGGTAGCAGTGTGTCTCCTCGAGATTCGAAAACTAGTGCTCGAAAGATACAAGCGATGATCAGAGCAAAGAGCAAGCAGTCTGTCTCCATTACCTGATCGACTGCCACCGAGATCAAAACTACCCCCAAGGTGGTGCTTGCTGGTGAAAGGCGGCCAACCCGTGCGTTCAAGTCCCCGGCAAGAATGACTATATCAATCCTTTTGGAGGAACGCAGAAGCTCATGTAGCTGCTGGTAAAAGCTATCTTTAACTGCATCCGGGCTGCAGTTTGTAGAGGCGTAGGCGGAGACGACAAACAATGCACGTTTAACATCATGACGCCTGCTTACATTACATGAACCTCGCAGTCTGACTGCACACAGCCGACTGTTGACTTGGATCCAGTCAAGCAGAGCTGATTCAGCCCTGGCACTCAGTGCAACCCCAACACCAGCTTGGCCAGAGGCGGCAGCATCTGGGTCCTCGGAAAGCCGCAAGTGGTATTTGGCGTCAGGGTTTACCGGAGAAGCCATTCTGATGACGGCGTTAGAGTCTTGTAATCTGGTCTCCGAAAGTCAACAGATGTCTACCGAAAGCATTTCAAGAGTACGGGCCAGACATGCTTGTCGTCCGATCTGCATCAAAGTTCGAACATTAAACGCTGCGAGGATGAATGGAGAACCAGGTCGAAGAAGAGTTGGAGTTTCGGTGGAGTAAGAGGCAGCTGCGATCGCAGGACATCGAAAACCGGGAGTTTGGCTGTTACTTCCATAAGTTGCGAGACGTGGGTCGTTTGTGACGGTGACCAAAAAAGATATAAGAGTACATATAGGTGAAGGACGGGAGGTGAGGTGATCTGTGAGTGGAGGTTCAGGAGTTGAGTTAGCATAGAAGATAGGCATAACAGGAGCAGTAGTAAGCAGTGTGGTCCACGATTCGTCAGTGGGCGTGATGCTACCCGGTTGCCCAGGCCGAAGTAGACGGTTGTCTCAGGGGGCCCGACCCCGAGCCTTTGATCAAAGATCTAACCTACAAGGCTGCAGAGGGATGTGAGGGTGCCGCTACCCGTTGGGAGCCGGTGACCAAATAAGTGGTTCATACGTCTATCGGTACGTGAAGAAACAGGGGCCCAACGCACCAATGAAGTACACTGCCACTCAGGAAGGGGCAAAGGGCAGTGACTTTATTTAGTGGCGAGCCATATTCGCCACGCCGCAGTGTTCTTATGCAGACATTTGTGGCTTTTTATAAGAAGAATACTTGTCGGGCGAAAACCCACCACGTCTCAGAACACTACGCCGAACCATTTGCTGGAACGGGAAAAACCCGAACTACCCAGCTGGCACCACGAGGAGGTTGTTCGGCAAATGAGCAGCAGATAAAGCACGGTTGATTATCCTCTGCGGTGGCCAGAGCAACAAGAAATTAATTGACGGAAGAATCATAGTATTGCGTGGGCAGGATACTGTCAGGTTGCCCAAGCCTAGACAGGAGAAGGATTAGGATTCTCCACCAAAGCCATTGGTTCAAAAACCTGACCACAAGGCAGCGACTTTCGCGTTAGGCTACAAGCAATCTGTTTTAAGGAATAAGGAGCCAACATCATTCCAATCCGAAACCTGGAGGACCAGGAGGCAAAGTTTGTCGGGCCTCTAACCATTGAACAATCTGGTATGAGTGGCTCTGAAGGTACAAAAAGCACCACCCAGCATAGCTCAATTAATCGTTGAAGCACACAAATCATCGTACCACGGTAAGGTACAGCCACATTGCGATGGACTACCACTGCGTAACAAAGTGTTCAGTTCGTGGTAGAATATGTCCTTGGCAGCATCAGAACTG